GACCACAAGGAAATGAGCCCTCTAGAAAGTCCATAGAACCAGAGCCTCTGGGACTTGCCAACGGGGACACGGAGGGAGGAGATATACACTGAGTAACATATCGTAAAAGAGATTGAAAAGACGAGCAAGGAGCAAGAAGATCATGCAGATGTTTTAAAAGGGCCAGTGGGACGTCTGGAGAGAACATGCCAGTCACTGAGAGGGACACTTGGGCCATATGTGGTTCATCAGACACAGCAGACGGGTGTCAGTGACCTGGAGACACAGCTGAAGAATCGCCTGGACTGATGCAAAGAAGGGAGAGCATAGCAGGGCTGAGCGTGGGGGAGGGCTGGCACATACAACTAACTCTTCAGTGTCCCTGAAGGAGCGCAGAATTAGAGGATGAGAAAGGAGAGTTTCCCAGGATTCATGAACAACATGGGTCTTCAAATCCAGGAAAAGCAATGAATTTTGAGCAGGGGAAAAAAAATAACTGCCCACGTAAGTACTCTGCCATGAGTCACAACACACACGGGAGGCGGGAGGGTCTAAAAGTGCCGCCAAGAGCCACAAATGTGCAGCCACAGGCTCTGTCCACACGTGGCGAATACTCACAGGATGAGGACTCAAAGAGTTTGCTGCTGTCAGAATACGCTATAACTCAGGTGTAGCCTCAGGTTGAAAGTCTCAGTTCTGCCTGGACGTGAAACTAAAGGACAGAAGTGGACCATGGACTTGAGCTCCTGAAAACGAACGTCTCTCCTAGCTGCCCCCCACCCCCACCCCCTGGAAAGAATGGGAAAGGGAGCATGTTTCAGAAGGGCCTAGAAGAAGGGAGAGGCAGAGGAAGGTGGGAATTCCTTAGGGCATCTCCTTTGAGAAAATGATGGCAGATATGACCGTGGGGGGTGGGGTTGGGGGACTAGGGGCTGCTCTGAGTGCTGGAGAAGGTAGCCTCGGACACTTGGGCTGCCTTTCTGTGCCTGCTGGGGTGTTGGCCACAGTCCTGGGCTGCGGTCTTCTGCCTGTTGGCCTAGTAGTGCTGCAGCTCATGTTTGCATATAATCAGGATATTTTGAAAACAGTAAGAATGAGGGTGGCAGAAGAAGAAGTTGGAGTGTTTTCTCTAAAGAGCCAGAGGAAAGAACCAGCCTTGCAAGGAGTACGGGCCCAGTTCTTCTGTCCAGCACGTTCTCTGACTGCTGCCGACTGTAGACTTCCGCAGTTCTTTGAGAAGCAACACCCCAGCTTTAGACCACAGTTCGGAGGGGCTGTTGGGTCCTGTTCAGCAACCCTGGTCTTGCTGTGGGGCCAGGCCTCCAGGGTGGCTTACCGGCCCTCGTGGAGCCCCTTAAGCAGTGGCTCCAGACCTTACAGAGGGGCTGCAGAGGCCGCAACCTCAGTGAGTGCAGGTGGGACCTTTCCATATGCTGGCAGTTGCAGGTGCCTTTTGAAAATGGTGTTTAGTAAACGGTTCTCTGTGAGCCCAGGGCAAGCCAGTGAGAAATCGGCTGTGTCTAGGGATGCATCAAGAGCCACTGCAGCTCCGGTTGCCATGTTGTTACTGGGAAGAGAGGAAGGAACCAGGTGCATCTGCAAATGACCCTGAGCAAACCGGAGGCAGCTGTAAGTCACTGGTGGCCAGGGTAGGAGCAGAAAGGAGGGCTCAGCTGCTGGGGGCCTTGAGGACAGGCCATGGCCCTGCACCTCTCCCTGGGCCCAAGTCCACTGCAGGAGGGAGAGGCACTGTCCTTAGGCTCAGCTGTGGACCCTACAGGGATCACAGGGTGCCAGACTCTTTTTCCACAGCGGCTGCACCATTTTACAGTCCCACTAGCAGTGCACAAAAGTTCTAATTTCTCCAATCCTTGGTAACAGTTTTGATCATCTTTTTTATTCTAGCCATCCTAGAGTGTATGAAGTATTTATTGTGGTTTTGATTTGTAATTCCATACTCACTGAGTTGGAATCAAATCAATGGCAATGGGTTAGTGACTAATGATGTTGAACATCTTTTCATGCGCTTATTGGCCATTTGTGTATCTTCTTTGGAGAAATGTCTGTTCGGATCCTTTGTTCGTTTTAAAATTGAGTTTTTTGTTGTTGTTGCTGTTGTTGTTGTAAAAGCTTTTTATGTATTTTAGATTCTAGACCCTTATCTTATACATGATTGCAGATATTTTCTCCATTCTGGGAACTGTCTTTTCACTTTCTTGATAGTGTCTTTTGATGCACCAAACTAAAACCTGTTGCAGTCAAGTCCAACTCATGGTAACCCCATGTGTACTAAAGTTTTCAAGTTTAATGAAGTCCAGTCTACCTATTGTTATGTTGCTTGTGCTTTTAGTGTCGTGTCTAAGAAGTCACTGCCAAATCCAAGGTCATGAATATTTATCTCTCTGTTTTCTTCTAAGAATTCTATGGTTTTAGTTCCTACATTTAGGTGCTTGATCCATTTTGAGTTAACTATTATGTATGGTTTGAGGAAGGAGGCCAGCTTCATTCTTTTGCATGTGGAAATCCAGTTGTCGCAACACCATGTGTTGAAGAAACTGTTCTTTCCTGATTGGTCTTGGCCAGAGCTGGTGGGTACCACAGAGTGGACCCTCTGTGATGTAGTTCTGCTCAACCAGGAGCTTTTAAATCAAATTCTGCAGAATTCAGCATTGGCACCACCAGAGGGGTTGATTATGCTGCCCCCCAAACTTCAAGTGGCTATCAAGCAGTGACCCTGTTTCACAACCAGGGCCGACACACCCCTCTGTTTACTGGGGTTTCACTCTCCCTGATGACATTTTGATCTCCTTGATACTTTTTAATCCACTAGACATGGACAGTCACACGGCTCCTTTGTCATTCCTGTTTCGGAGTCCTCATCTCAAGACAGGTTAAACTAATGCATGGTCTGCAGATAGTCGATGTGACCGATGTCCCTGTTGTTGCCCAGCGCTAGGTGTTGTGTTTCGACCTCAAATACCAGGTGTGGTGGCAGTAGCACCACCAGACACACACACCACTCACTCTCTGCACAATGCGCCTTGGGGCAGGCATGCTCCTTGGCTACGAAAGAGCAGGAACAGGCAGAAAACAGAGGGTGGGTTTTGTCTCAGTGAGGGCTTATTTGCAACTAACCTTCACAGAACAATTTTCATTTGTTTCTGGAAACCATTACCATCAAATACATGTGATGAGATGTTGCAGCTCTCCAGAGTGTCCTCGGCCATGACTCACGCAGTGTGTGTGGACGACAACTGCTCTGGGAGGACTAGGTCCTCTTTTAGGAATGGAAGCGCGTTGACCTTGTTTTAACTAGACCGGATGCATCACCCACAGCAGCATCTAGGGGCTGCAGGTGACTGCGCAGAATTCCCAGGTGCCAATAGTGGGAGTGGTTTAGTCTGTGTTTTAAATTTAAATTTCAAAGTGAAATTTAAAAGGTGGTTTGGGGTGTTTCCACCTTATCTTGGTGTGCTTTTCAACCGCAGGAAAGCAGAGATGCCTGGGCCCTGCTGAGATGCTGTGCTGCCAGGGGCCTGGGGGCATCTGGCCTGGTGTGACGGCCGCGCATACACCCCAAGAGGCCGAGTGAGCGGGGTGCTGGAGCTTGTCGGCAGCCAACCTGTCACCTGTGGAAGGGCAGCTTGTCCCAGGCAGGTCCTGGGAGTGCACAGAGCACGGTGCAATCACAGTAGCTGGTTTGCGGGCCAGCTGGACACTTTGACAACCATTTGTGACTATTTCTATATAACACAGTGCATCTCATAGCTCAACTGACTTCATCCAGAAAAGGGCATGTTGAGTGGAGCCACAGACCACCCTCAGAAAGCATGCCATCTAACCTACTGGCTCATGTAGCACTTCAGAACTATGACCGAGAGCCTTGGGCTTTAGAAAAATATACTTCAGCAGCTGGGCCTTGGGAGGGAACTGTCACAAGTCTGTAAGAATGGTCAGACTTTGGGGTGTTAGTGGGAATTTGTAACCTTGCCTGGCACTGGAGGAGGAGGGCTGGGAGGTGCAAGGATGCAGAGAGAGAGTTTCTGCATTCAAGGAGCTTAAAATACTGTTTGTGACCCTGACTGACACCTTGGGTACTCGGCCACGTGGCCTGGGTGGAGTGGAGGCACAGACAGGACTCAGTCCGTCTCCATTCTCCTGTCAGACCTTTCTGTGAATGGGGCTGTGGGTGGGGTGCAGGGCTCTGGATCCCTGGTTTCCATCAGCAGGTGCCTCCAGCCGTAATCAGCACAGGGGTTCATGGAGATCCAGGGTATCTTTTCTCTCCCTATACCTGCCTCTATTCAGAGGAATGGCCCAGTGTATCAGTGTGCCTCGTCCCTGCTGGGCACTGTGTGCTGTCACGGTTCGGAGCAGTAGAGGGCGTGCTCACTGGGAAGCAGCCGGGCTGCACTTCGCATCTCGTTAGTGCTCTGTGTTGATGCTTTTAGATGCCTCCAGTTCAGTCCATGTTGTGGCACTACCAGGCCGGTGCGCCCCTCCAAGCACCATGGCATGAAATGGAGGCTCCTAGAAGCAAGAAGAAAGGTATGGTACCGACGCGTGGGCCTTGATTTATTTATGTACTTTAAAACTATTTTTGTCATTTTCTATTTACACTGTTCGTTGGGGGGAGGAAGGGGGGTGCTGAATGTAATTCTAGACACATTTGTCTAGTTGATTGGAACCTGTTGTCAGTGCCAACCCACTGCTGCCCAAGCCTGGCTCTGTGTGTGGCCAAGGTCTGGGGGCTCAGGAGAGATTTCTGGAGTGGGGTGAATGGTTGGTGGAGGCCAAGACCTAGCAGGATGTATTGGCTGGTAACAAAGTAGATTGTCTCACAGTTATTGCTAAGAGAGGTGGCGACAGGGAGCATGAGTGCTTCTGGCTTGTTGTTTGTCCCTCTCAATGGCCTTCCTTTTGCTCTGTAAGCTGTCAGGGTGAGTGAAAGGTATTGTTAGTGTTTCCTTAACGAGAGCACATGGCATGAACCCCCCTCTCTCCTCTCACCTGCCTCACAGAGAAGCAGGGCCCTGAGCGGAAGAGGATCAAGAAGGAGCCCGCTACACGCAAGGCCGGTCTGCTGTTCGGCATGGGGCTATCTGGGATCCGAGCTGGCTACCCCCTCTCCGAGCGCCAGCAGGTGGCCCTCCTCATGCAGATGACCGCCGAGGAGTCTGCAAACAGCCCAGGTGAGCTGGGCCATGTGGGCCTTGACAGGGAGAGGGCTGTGTTTAGGCCCAGGCTCACCACAGCCCACAGGGGACTTGTGAGCCTGAGGGTGGCCCTGAGTGGCTTCCACGTGGCCTCATGACACGCCGTGCCCAGGTCTGTGGTTCTTTCTGCTGCCTCCAACTTCCCTGCCATGACACTCTGCCCTGTCCTCCTTGGCCTGCAGTAGATACAACACCAAAGCACCCCGCCCAGTCTGCAGTGTGTCAGAAAGGGACGCCTAACTCTGCCTCAAAAACCAAAGATAAAGTGAACAAGAGGAACGAGCGCGGGGAGACACGCCTGCACCGGGCCGCCATCCGGGGGGATGCCCGGCGCATCAAGGAGCTCATCAGCGAGGGCGCGGATGTCAACGTCAAAGACTTCGCAGGTACCGTTGCCCGGCTGGGGGTAACTGAGGTAGGCACAGAGTCTAGGGATGAGAGCAGCCAGCAAGCTTCTGTTTGAAGTGGTTTCAAAAGTGCTGGGAAGCTGGTCTCCTCAGATACATGGCCTCTTTTGGACACCCCTCAGGGGCCTGGTGCACAGTAGCCCCAGGGCCAGGGTCTGCTGGTGGGACGCAGGGCTGGGGTGTACATCCTGCCAAGGCCCTGGGTTGAGGAATACCTGGTGCTCCATGCACCTGCTCAGATGTGGTTGTGTGACTAAGAAGGAGCAATTAATATTTGTTGGGAAGTGTTTCAAAAAAAGGTCATTTTCTTATTTTTCATTATTTTCAAGACAACTGGGACACTTCAAAATCTTACTCTGCTGTGTTACGTAAAATCCCATTCCATACAAGAAGAATTCGTTCTCCCGGCTTCCGGGGGCGTCATGACTGGCATATTGAAGAGGCAGCCACACCACAACAAAAGGTGTCTCGGTCTCATCCCTTCCCGTGCTTCATCCTCTTCGAGCAGACCACACACACGTCCCTCACATGAGGGGCCATCAGCTAGATGCCCCGTGTAATTTGAAGCAGAAATGTCCTGGTCTTTTTTATTTTTTAAGGCCCCGTGATTAGAGTGCTGTGTGGCCTTTTTGCATGCCATACTCCCAAAGATCCCAAGTTTTGGCTCCAGAGAGGAAGGAAAGTGTTAGATGGGTGAGGCAGTCTGCATGCAGCATCCTTCCAGATACTTCCCTTTGGTTGTCTGACCCACACCTTTTGGTTGTCTGACCCACACCTAACTTAGCATTTTTTTGTTTCAAAAGCAGTTTTCCTTAAATCAGGATTTTTCAAAGCATGGAATTTTCTTCCTGTGGGTAAGCACTGTTTCACGCTGACGTGGGCTCTGTCACAGACCACACTATGAGGACAAATTTACGGGCATGGCCCCAGGCAGGCACCCTTGTGAGGAGCCTGGGGCTCCAGCCAGTGAGCCACATCCAGTGGGGGTGCCTGGCGGCAGCCAGCTCTACAGTCTTAGCAAGGGCTGTGTGAGCCTGTGTCTGCTGCATGGTGGAGGCTATAGTTAGACGGTGCAGTAAGGTTGTCCCACAGATCATTCCTGAGGACCAGCAACTAGACGTTCACCTGGCTGAGCCAAGGTGCCGGAGTCAGGGCTCCAGGCAGGCTTGACTTTCCTTGACTGTTAGCACATCGGTGCAAGTGACACCTGACCAGCACCTTCTCCTTGTCGTGTGCAGCCGTGGGAGTGCACTCTCCGTGTTCAGGCAGCGTATGTCATGAGTGTCTTTTTCCAGGCTGGACAGCCCTGCACGAAGCCTGTAACCGCGGCTACTATGATGTCGCAAAGCAGCTGTTAGCAGCAGGTGCTGAGGTGAACACCAAGGGCCTGGACGATGACACACCCCTGCACGATGCCGCCAACAACGGGCACTACAAGGTAGGGTCCCTGTGACAGTGCTTTGTCACCATAGAGCCTCCTGTAGCTCCCCATTGTCATGTTGGGTTTTTGCCTCCCCTGCCAAGGAGGAGTCCCCCTGGAGGGTGATGCAGAAAGGGCATGTGCACCCCCAATGCCCCTTGTCCTGCTAGATAGCAAGGGCAGCATGGTGAGGGCCAGGGACTCCTGAGCTCACCCCAAGGCGACTATGGAGAGGGCCGAGTGTGGTGAGGACAACAGTGCCAGTCACTCACCACATACCCGTCTGCTGCCTTTACAACGAGGCACAGCAGCCCCAGTTGACTGGAGCTTACCACGGGTTAGCACAGCCAGCTAGGGAGGAAGTGAGAGGTGGACTTTGAGTCAAAGGAGACTCAAGATGAGGTGCGACCTGTGGGGCTTGAAATCCTGATTCAAACCAATGTTAACAAAATTCGGGAAATCTGAACATCGATTGCATATTTGATACGAAGGAATTACTGCATTGTGGTTTTTTAAGGGGCCTTTTAGAGATATGTTCTGAAACATTTTCATGAAATGATATGGTACCTGGGGTTTGGGGGAGTAGTGCGCAGGTGTTGCTGAAGTAAGACCGGTTATGAGTTGGTGAGTGATGGAGCTGACCCCGAGAGGAACACACAGAGGAGGAGTCATTACTTGAATCTCTATGCTTTCATACATTTTAAAATTTTCTATTATGGAAAACGTCAAAGACTGTGGAAACGTGATATAGTCAGCAAAGTAACAGACCCAAAGATGTCCACGTCCTGATCCTCGGACCTGTGAATATATGGCCTCGTGGCAAAAAGTACTGAGCACCTGTGTTCAGTTAAGGACCTTGAGATGGTGGGCCTGTGTAGTCACAAGGGTCCTTGAAAGCGGAGGGTCTCCCAGCTGTGTAGAGCAATGAGACGGTAGGAACAGCCACATACCAAGGACACCTGCACAGGTCTCTAGAAGCTGGGACGGCCCTCTGCAGATAGTCAGCAGGAGCCAGGGAGCTCAGTCTCACAGTTGCCATCAACCTGAAGGAGCAGGAAATGGACCCACCCCAAGGCCTCCAGAAAGGAATGCAGCCCTGTGGACAAAATGATTTTAGGACCTTTGACCTCCAGGCCCGAGAAAGAACAAATATGTATTATTTAAGCCGCTAAGTCTGTGGTCGTCTGACCGGTGGACAGCTCTGCACTGATCACACAGTGCAGCCCATAATCTCCTGATGAAGAGCCTGTGGGTGAGGAGAGTTTACATTGATCTTTACTGAGATTACTTTAATGCTGCAATCTCAGACCAGAGTAATGGACTGAGGTGAGGCTGAATTCACATTTGTACCTGAGGTCGCTGACAGAACAGCTGAATAGAGCTGTTGAGATGTCACCATGAAATCTCTGTCCTTCATGACCATCCTTATCTGAGTAAAACCAATGAGGAAGAGGTTGTTTTCCTTCCTGTGTAAGCAGAAATGGAAAATATACCTGTGTGGGGACATGCTATCTTTGTCTCCTCTGTTCCACCCCCCAAACTGCTAGACCCTGCCATCTCCTCACAGGACTCGGTGCCAGTGGCAAGGTTACGTGGTGTGCTGCGGCTGCAGGAGAGCCTGTGTGAGACAACCCCTCCCAGTGCAGTGGGCGGCTCCGCTGTGAGGAAGACTCAGGGAGCCCTTCAGGAAGGACGGGCTGAGAACATGTGGAGGAGTAAGAGGACTTCCAAGAAGCTGGGACCGTTTTTCCTGGAGGGGACCAGGAGGGCCAGAAGCCTGGATGTCCCACACACAGACAAGGAGCTAGCCACACACACCACACAGAGGCTGGCCTCTGGGGACAGCAGGTCCCTCAGTGGGTTGCTGTACACATGTAGAATAGAGTAGTTGATGTTTCTGAAAATTTCCTAACAAGGCTGTCATCATTCTACAGGTAGTGAAATTGTTGTTACGTTACGGAGGGAATCCTCAGCAAAGCAACAGGAAAGGCGAGACGCCGTTGAAAGTTGCCAATTCCCCAACAATGGTGAATCTCCTGCTGGGCAAGGGCACGTACACGTCCAGCGAAGAAAGCTCCACCGGTGAGGCACTGGGCAGTGGGGAAGGTGGGCAGGCAGGCACAGATACATGTGCAAGAGTAGGGGCTGGGGTGGGGGAGGGAGTAGGACTGTGTGGTGCACCACGGGTGGAGATTCCTTTATTTCAGTGACACTAGCAGCAACCTAGTGTGTCCACGTGGTCTTGCACTGTCACACAGGGTCTCCTGGTCCTTCCCAGATGCCTGGTGCTCATGGGAACTTCTGGGCTGTGGGAGCACTCAGCCCAAGAAGTTCATTCCCAAGAAACCCACAGGTCTTACTCCTATTTTGGTCTATCTCTAAGCAAAGCTCTTTGATTTCCTTCTGCCAGTGGTTGGCCTTGAACTTAAAGTAACAAGTTCGTTGCTTCCCCAGAGGCCGAGACCTGAGGGGAGCAGAGTTTCCACAGGGCCTCCATCTCTGGGAGCATTGTTCTGAGCCTGCCTCTGATACTTCTTCCCCTCTCTCCAGCAGAGAGCTCAGAGGAGGAAGACGCCCCCTCGTTCGCACCTTCCAGTTCAGTGGATGGCAATAACACAGACTCTGAATTTGAAAAGGGCCTGAAGCACAAGGCCAAGAACCCAGAGCCCCAGAAAACTGTGACCCCCGTCAAGGACGAGTATGAGTTTGATGAGGATGACGAGCAAGACAGGGTCCCTCCTGTGGACGATAAGCACTTGTTAAAAAAGGATTACAGAAAAGAGACTAAGTCAAACAGTTTTATTTCTATACCCAAAATGGAAGTTAAAAGTTACACTAAAAACAACACAATTGCACCAAAGAAAGCTGCGCATCGCATCTTGTCGGACACGTCAGACGAAGAGGAGGTGAACGTCACCATGGGGACTGGAGAAAAGCTGAGACTGTCAGCGCACGCAGTACTGCCCGGTAATAAAACACGGGAGTCTTCTAATTCCAAGCAGCAGAAAGAAAAAAATAAAGTGAAAAAGAAGCGAAAGAAAGATACAAAAGGCAAAGAAGTTCGGTTTGGAAAAAGGAGCGACAAGTTCTGTTCCTCTGAGTCCGAGAGTGAGCCCCTGGGGAGTGACGAGGACGACGGCTCTGTTGGCAGCTCTGGCTGTGCCAAAGGGTCTCCACTAGTGTTGAAGGATCCCTCCCTGTTTAGCTCGCTCTCTGCCTCCTCCACCTCCTCCCATGGGAGCACCGCCTCCCAAAAGCATAACCCCAACCACACAGACCAGCACTCCAAGCACTGGAGAACGGACAATTGGAAAACCATCTCTTCTCCTGCCTGGTCGGAGGTCAGCTCTTTGTCGGACTCTACCAGGACACGGCTGACGAGCGAGTCTGACTGCTCCTCGGAGGCCTCCAGTGTGGAGTCCCTGAAGCCCGTCAGGAAGAAGCGGGAGCATAGGAAAGGGGGTGGCCTGCAGGGCACGCTCTCGGAGAAGAAGAGTGCGTTCCACGCCAGCGTGGATGGTGCCATCCCAAAGCTAGACAAGGAGGGGAAGGTTGTCAAAAAACACAAAACAAAACATAAACACAAAAACAAGGAGAAAGGACAGTGTTCGGTCAGCCAGGAACTTAAACTGAAAAGTTTCACTTATGAATATGAGGACTCAAAGCAAAAGCCCGACAAGGCCATACTTCTAGACAATGATATTCCCACTGAAAACAAGCTAAAGGTGTTAAAGCATGACCGAGACCATTTTAGGAAAGAAGAGAAACTTAGCAAAATGAAGTCAGAAGAAAAAGAATGGTTATTTAAAGATGAGCTAATAAAGGTCTCCAAAGATGAGAAATCACTCAAGAGAATCAAAGACCTGAGTAAAGACGTCACGAAATGTTTCCGAGAAGAGAAAGACCGCACCAACAAGTCAGAAAAGGAGAAACTGATGAAAGAGAAGTCTCCAAAGGAGGAGAAGCTGAGGCTATACAAAGACGAAAGAAAGAAAAAGTCAAAAGACAGGCCCTCAAAACTAGAGAAGAAGAATGATTTAAAAGAGGACAAAATGTCAAAAGAGAAGGAGAAGACTTTTAAAGAAGACAAACTCAAAAAAGAAAAAGTTTATAGGGACGATTCTGCTTTTGATGACTATTGTAACAAAAATCAGTTTCTGGAGAATGAAGACACCAAGTTCAGCCTCTCTGATGACCAGCAGGAACGGTGGTTTTCTGACTTGTCCGACTCGTCCTTTGATTTCAAAGGGGAGGACAGCTGGGACTCTCCAGTGCCCGACTACCGGGAGATGAAGAGTGACTCTGTCGCCAAGCTCATCCTGGAGACGGTGAGAGAGGACTCAAAGGAGAAGAGGCGGGATAACAAAAGCAGGGAGAAGAGAGACCACAGCGAGAGACGCAGTGACAGAGATTCTTTCTTTAGAAAGAAAGACAGGGACTATCTGGATAAAAATGCTGAAAAAAGAAAAGACCAAACTGAAAAGCATAGAAGTATCCCCAGCTATCTGTCAGAGAAGGATAAGAAGAGGAAAGAGTCTGTGGACGGAGCCAAAGAGCGGAAAGACAAGGACCTGAGTGACATCTGCAGGGACAGAAAAGACTCCTTCGAGAGCGCCAAGGAGAGGAAAGAAGTCAGAGCTAAGCCCGAGGAGGCCTACAGAGAAGGCCTCAAAGAGTTCAGCTGTGACAGTTTTTTCAAGGACAAGTCTGACTCTGACTTTGTCAAAAGTCTGGAGTCTTGGGAGAGGCATCATTCAGTGAAAGAAAAAGACAAGAAGGACGGCATCGATAAGGAAAAGAAAGAGAAAGTAAAATCAGAAAAATATAAAGACAAGTCCAGTGACAAAGACAAGAATGAAAAATCTATCCTTGAAAAGATTCAGAAGGACAAAGAATTTGATAAATGTTTTAAGGAGAAAAAAGAAATTAAGGAAAAACATAAAGATGTACATAGCAAAGACAAAGAAAGAAAAGCTTCTGTTGATCCAGTTAAAGAAAAAAAGGAGAAAACTTACCCTGGAATTCTCTCAGAAGATTTCTCTGAAAAAAAAGATGAAAAAAAGGGTAAAGAGAAAAGTTGGTATATCGCAGACATATTCACAGATGAAAGTGAAGATGAAAAAGACACCTATGCTGCCAGTGGGTTCAAACTCACAGAAACCGGGGAGGGGCAGAGGGCAGAAGGCCCACAGGACAGGGAGGAGGGGAAAGAGCCCTACCCCTCAGACAAGCACCGGAAGTACTCCTCTGATAAGCAGCACTCGGAGAAGCAGAAAGATAAAGAATCCAAGGACAAAAAAAAGGACAAAGGAGCCACTGAAGGAGGGAAAGACAGAAAAGAAAAAATCTTTGAAAAACACAAAGAGAAGAAGGATAAAGAGTCCACAGAAAAGTACAAGGACAGGAAAGACAGAACTTCAGCTGAGTCTACTCAAGAAAAGAAAAATAAACAGAAACTCCCTGAGAAGGCTGAAAAGAAGCACGCAGTAGAAGACAAGGCAAAAAGCCGGCACAAAGAGAAGTCTGACAAGGAACATTCCAAAGAGAGGAAGTCTTCAAAAAGTGCTGAGATGGAAAAAAGTTTATTAGAAAAGTTGGAAGAAGAAGCTCTGCATGAGTACAGAGAAGATTCCAATGATAAAATTAGTGAGATCTCCTCTGACAGCTTCACCGACCGAGGGCAGGACCCTGGGCCGACCGCCCTGCTGGAGGTGTCCTTCACAGAGCCCCCCGAGGAGAAGGCCAGGGAGGGCTCTTGCCTGCAGGAGAAGCTGAAGGAGAGGCACAGACACTCCTCGTCCTCATCAAAGAAGAGCCACGACCGAGAGAGGGGGAGGAAAGAAAAGGCCGAGAAGAAAGACCGGAGTGAGGACTACAAGGAGACGGGCAGTAGAAAGGACTCCAGCCAGTATGAAAAAGACTTCCTGGACGGGGACACTTACAGCATTTCCTATAATACAAAAGCTGATATAGAAGATGAGTTAGAGAAAACCATTGAATTGTTTTCTACTGAAAAGAAAGATAAAAACGATTCTGAAAGAGAACCTTCCAAGAAAATAGAAAAAGAACTAAAGCCTTATGGGTCCAGTGCCATCAACATCCTGAAAGAGAAGAAGAAGAGAGAGAAGCACAGGGAGAAGTGGAGAGATGAGAAGGAGAAGCACCGAGAAAAGCATCCAGATGGCTTCCTTAGGCACCACAAGGACGAGCCAAAGCCTGGAGCCAAAGACAAGGACAACCCTCCAAACTCTAATTTTAAAGACAAGTCCAAGGAGGAGACCCTGAGACTCGGGGAGGTCAAGCTGAAGGAGAAGTTCAAGGAAAGCCAGGAGAAGGGCGACTTAGCAAAGATCAGCAACGGGAACGAGAAGCTGCCGCCGTCCAGGGACTCCAGCAGGAAAGACCACCGGCCTCGAGAAAAGTTGCTAGTGGATGGTGACCTGATGATGACGAGCTTCGAGAGGATGCTCTCCCAGAAGGACCTGGAGATTGAGGAGCGCCACAAGAGGCACAAGGAGAGGATGAAGCAGATGGAGAAGATGAGGCACAGGTCTGGGGACCCAAAGCTCAAAGACAAGACCAAGTTGGCAGAGGACATGCGCAAAAAGAGTCTAGAGCTCCCAACGAAAAAGCCACCAGGGGTGGACATGCAGCTCAGAGACAAGAAGCTCAAGGACTCCATTGTGCTGGCTCCGACCCCACCCACTGCCGATAGTAAAATGCTCCCAGGAGCAGGCTCAGAGCCCAAGGACTGGCTGACAGGGTCCCAGATGAAAGAGGTCTTGCCCGCCTCCCCCAGGCCTGACCAGAGCCGGCCCACTGGGGTGCCCACCCCCACCTCGGTGGTCTCATGCCCCAGCTATGAGGAGGTGATGCACACCCCCCGCACCCCCTCCTGCAGTGCTGATGATTACTCCGACCTCATCTTTGACTGCACCGACTCCCACCACGTGATGCCCATGCCTGTCAGCACACCGGCCAGCGCCTGCTCCCCCTCCTTTTTTGACAGGTTCTCAACTGCCTCGAGCAGCCTTCCCGAGAACCCTAGTCAGACCCCGACGCGGACTCTGTCCACAAGCCTCTACCGCTCAGTGTCCGTGGACACACGCAGGACCCCTGAGGAAGAGTTCAGTGTTGGGGACAAGCTCTTCCGGCAGCAGAGTGTCCCCGCCACCTCCAGCTATGACTCACCAGCACGGCACCTGCTAGAAGACAAGGCTGCCGCTCCCCTAGAAAAGTTCCCCTGCTTGTCTCCCGGGTACTATTCTCCAGACTACGGGGTTCCTTCACCCAAAGGGGAGACTCTGCACTGTGCTCCTGTGGCCGTGGTCAACGCCACACCATCCCCAGAGGGTATCTTCTCAAGTTTACAAGCCAAGTCCTCCCCTTCCCACAGGGATGAGCTGGTAGCCCCTTCCCTGGAAGGGACCCTGCCCCCCGACCTGGGCCTCCCTCTTGATGCCACAGAGGACCAGCAAGCCACAGCGGCCATCATCCCCCCGGAGCCCAGCTACCTGGAGCCCACCGACGAAGGCCCATTCAGCACTGTCATCACCGAGGAAGACCCGGGCGAGTGGGCACATCCTGCTGCCTCTGAGCAGCCCCTCTCCTCCACCCTCGGTGGTGGTGTCCCTGAGAACCCTGTCGGCTGGCCCCCCGTGGGGGCAGACCTGCTGCTGAAGTCCCCACAGAGATTCCCAGAGTCCCCCAAACATTTCTGCCCCACGGAGCCCATGCACCCCACCACCCCTGTGCCCTTCATTGCCACAGAGCCCCCATACCCAGTCTCTCCACTCACATACCCATTGTCAGTCCCCGAGTCAGGGCTTGAAGAGGTCAAGGAGGACGTGGTCGAAGCAGTCCCAGTGGAGGTCTCCCCGTCAAAGGAGCCAGTCCCCTACGCCCCTCCCTCTGGGCTGCAGGCCTTTTTCAGCGACTGTAAGCCTCTCACCGAGACAGCCCCCGACGCACCCCCCGAGCCGGCTTGTGTGGCCGCCGCGACTCAGGTTGAAGCCCTGGGGCCCCTAGAGAATAACTACCTAGAAAACAACACTGGCCTCTCTGCCCTCGGTCAGGAGGAGCCAGTCCCCTGGCCAGACCCATTCCCAAACCCTGAAGATGACCTAGACCTGGGGCCGTTCTCACTGCCAGAACTTCCGCTTCAAACAAAAGATGTTTCAGATGTGGAGACAGAACCTATGGACGAGAGTCCTGTTGTTCCCCCAGAGCAGGCACCTCCAGGGGCCCCTGTGGTCATAAGTGGGGGGGACCTCCCCACGTCAGCCACTGAGGAGCAGCAGCCAACCCCTGACCAGGTGTCTACACAGCTCTCCACTGAGCCTGTGCGCACAGACGAGCCCAAGGTGGAGGTGCCTCTGGAAGCTGTGGTGCAAGCAGTGGATGTGTCAGTAGAGAGGGCCCCTGAGGACCTGGGCCCCAGCTCGATGCCTGCACCAGTCCCCACCGAGCTCCATCCAGCAGGGAGTGGGGACGAGGAGGCAGAGACCGTGGACCCCCCAGTGGCACCCCAGTCTGCCCCTGACAGCCCCCCTGCCGATGTTGTGGCCCAAGCCCTCAATGCAGATGGGGCAGGCCCCCCTAACAGTGCTGGCCGCGCCGCTGCCCAGGCGGAAGCCCCCCCAGGCAGTGGCCAATCCGAAGCAGCAGACCCAGCCCCTAAGCCACCAGCTGAAGCCCCGAAGCTGCCCCGTGTCGAGGAGATCCCGCAGCGCATCACCAGGAACCGGGCACAGATGCTGGCCAACCAGAGCAAGCAGGGCACGCCGCCCCCTGAGAAGGAGCTCCCGCCTGCTGCCCCGGCCACCAGAGCAAAGGGTCGCATCCCTGAGGACGAGGATGCCCAGGCCCAGCACCCTCGCAAGCGCCGCTTCCAGCGCTCCAGCCAGCAGCTGCAGCAGCAGATGAACACGTCAACACAGCAGACACGGGAGATGATCCAGCAGACACTGGCTGCCATCGTGGATGCCATCAAGCTGGATGCCATTGAGCCCTACCACAGTGATAGGGCTAACCCCTACTTTGAGTACCTACAGATCCGGAAGAAGATTGAGGAGAAGCGTAAGATCCTGTGCTACATCACGCCACAAGCCCCCCAGTGCTACGCCGAGTACGTCACCTACACCGGCTCCTACCTCCTGGACGGCAAGCCCCTCAGCAAGCTCCACATCCCAGTGGTGAGTCCTCCAGGGGCATCACGGGGTGGGGGTGGGGGGCCCAGGCCAGGTAGTGAGACGTGACGGTGTAGTGTAATCACAGGTCAGTGCTCACACTCTCTGCTAGTGCCCGACTGTCCAGCCAGGACCACCCTCCTCCTGCCCTCCCCCAATCCTGCCACCCCTGCTTTCAACACTTCCAAAATCCAGACACTTCTCCCACCTCCATCCCCCTTGCCAGCCGAGTTGCTTCCTCCTGGGTCCACCTGGGTCTGTTCTCAACACACAGGTCAAACCTTGCTTCCTCTGCAGAGTGACAGCTCAAGGCTGTGCATGCCCACTTCCCACTCCCATCTCTACAACCCCTACCGCGTAGCTTGTTGCCCTCGGAGCCTGTGTGTATGGCCCTTGGCCGCCTCCGCTACCCACAGGCACTCCCGCCTCCTGGGGGCCTTCCTGATCAACCCCAGGGTCTGAGCCCAGCACGCCCCCTACCCCTGGGCCCTTGCATGGTCGCCAGCTCATTCAGCACTGCTCACCAACTTCATTACCTGGCCACTTCAGTCCCCGTGATAAAAGCGTGGTTTGTGTTGTGCTCATTCTCCAAGAACAGTGTGGAATGTGACAATCATCAGAACAAGCTGTTTCCTTTTTGGGGCCCAGGGGAGGCAGCTTCAAGGGACCACGCACTGTGCTGGCCCAGCCAGGTCTCAGGGAGTCTCAGTCCGTACAAGTGGGTGCTGTCCTGTCTGTTGGACCAAGGCCTTCTGAAAGTTAGCATTTGTGCCGGCTCCTAACTAACCATGAATGACTCACCACTGCCCATTTGAGGAATTTCACTCTAAGAGCAGTCACATTTTAAAAGGACAGTGATGTTGGTGCCAACACAGGGGACTTGGCAAAAGCCCACAGCGCGTGACCTAGGTGCGGGGCCACTGGGCTCCTCCATGCACCAGGGTGGAGTGCATGTCACCTGCTCACTCTCCCGTGTGGGCCCCTGCACGGTGGGTCCATGCCCACAACCACACCAAGGTTGTCCTCCTTTCTGTGTCTGCAGATCGCTCCCCCTCCGTCCCTGGCGGAGCCACTCAAGGAGCTGTTCAAGCAGCAGGAGGCTGTGCGTGGGAAGCTCCGCCTGCAGCACAGCATTGAGCGGGTAAGGCTTGGCAGAGGGGCCCTCGGCCACGGCATGGTCGCTTGGCGGCATCATTGGCTCACCCACCCCTCCTCCCTCCAGGAAAAGTTGATCGTCTCCTGTGAACAGGAGATCCTGCGGGTGCACTGCCGGGCGGCGAGGACCATCGCAAACCAGGCGGTGCCCTTCAGCGCCTGCACCATGCTGCTGGACTCCGAGGTCTACAACATGCCCCTGGAGAGCCAGGTGGGCCCCTCCCTACTGCCTCTCCCCAGGGTCCCCCTTCCCTCGGCAAGCTGTGCAGCCTTCGTGGGACTGGCTGCCTGCAGAAGGTGGTGTAGCTGGAAACAACCAAACCCCACAGACCCTGTGCAGGGCGAGTGTTGCTTCGGCCCTGCACACTGTGTCCCCTCGGCCCTGCACTGGCCAGCCTGCTCAGCCTTAGTTTAGCCACAGAGAGAAGAGAAGGCAGGAAAAAGAGCCACTCTGTGTGGGTCTGTGTGGTGGCTCTGTGTCAGGAAATGCATGTGCCCCTCCCCAAGGCTGCAGCACTCCAGCCTCGCAAAGAGAATTTTCTCTTAACACGTCATCAGACAGGGGCGAGACACTGGTTTCTGTGTATAACGAGGGTGGGTGTGGCCCTGACCCAGGAGTCCCCCATGGTCCATGTTTATCCACCGGGCCTTGTGTGCTGTACCTCTCTGGTCACATGCTGCCACCCATCGTGGGTCACAGGGGCTGACTAGAAGAAATCAGGATAGCAGTGTGTGGCCCCTCCTCATCTGCTGTCACCCCTCAGCACCCACTCGGAGCCACCCACGGCCTTTCCAGTTGCCATCACCAGCTTTGCCACAAGCCCTGATGCGTTCCCGGGCCTGCTGCAGAGATGGGCTGAGCCCACAGCACCTCACTTCTGTCTTCTCCAGAGCACTCTCCAGCCCGAAGTGCCACAGTGCATGCTGCTGCCCATAAGGGCAGGTCTGGGAGGGGCCTGTGGCTTGCAGGGGTGACAGCAATTGTGCATGTCCCCAAAAGGCCAGGTCCCCTGCACATCTTAACCACAGCTCTGGAATGGACTGCGTGTCACCTGTTTACTCATCCACCTGCGGTCATATGTCCGTCTGTACCCGAACTGACCACAGGTGGATGCTGCAGCTTTTGTTCTCAATCAAGAAGGGATGCCTTGGAACCTAGTCATCAAGGTCATGTTTTTATAGCTGTCACCCACATTCTTCCTTATAAAACCTCCTGTGTTTGATTTCTCTGGCAGGGGGACGAGAATAAGTCAGTGCGAGATAGGTTCAACGCACGACAGTTCATCTCCTGGCTGCAGGACGTGGATGACAAGTATGACCGCATGAAGGTCAGTGCTCTTGCTTCCCAAGGGCAGGTTCTCTGCTGTAAAGAAATGAGGCCTGCTGTCTCTTCTGCCCTGACATGCGGGACGTGGCTCCCATCACCTCCTGAACAGAACCGGTTTTGTTAGGCCCTGGACCCTGCCTGAAGTCATGGTCCCCACCGCCGCCCCTGCCTGCCCTGGGAGTGCTGACCAGTACAGGGGGACTGCCTCACAGTTACAAAATGGACCCCCAAAAATGAGTAGCAATGGACAAGCCTGGCCTGCTCAGACCAGGGCCTTCTCCACCTGGTGTGGTTCTTACTCCACAAGTGTAGAATTGGTGCGAGAGACAGAAGGAGATCCAGACCCCCCCCCGCAAATCCCAGTTATGGGATACCCTGTTCTTAGAGAACAAACTGGTGTCTCCCAGATGCACCTATACCTGAGTCTCCTCATACAGTGACCCAGGAGTGTGCTGGTACAGTGATCACACTGAAAGAGCAGTACAACAGAACTAAGTGCAGTGTGGACGCAGTAAGAGGGAAGTTCTGCACTTCCCTCGGCCACCCCACAGAGCGTCCCTCCTAACACCAAGATTTATCCTAGATTATCAGTAATAGCTGACTTAAACAAAAAAAACTTGCTGTCCAGTCAATTCAAACTCATAGCGACCCTATAGGAGTGAGTAGAACTGCCCCAGAGGGTTTATAAGGAGGGGCTGGTGGATTTGAACTGCCAACCTTTTGGTTAGCAGCCATAGCACTTAACCACGGCACCACCAGGGCTTCAAAGAAGACTTTACTAAAAAAGATAAATGAAATTTTGACTACATTAAAATTAGACTTCTGTACATTAAACATGCCACATAGGTTTAACTTCTTTAGTGGGCAAACTAATAAAAAGACAGATGGAAGAAAATTAGCCAGGTCTGTAAAGAGGCAGTTCACAAGGACGACCACGAAACGCTGGGCCTTCCAGATAGACGTCCTATGTAACCGGTGATTCCAGAACTACAGACGAAGATCCCATGTGAAAGGCAGTAGGTGTGTTGGCTAGGATGGAGAAGGGCCAACCAGCAGGTGTTTATAGGATAAACTGACAGTAGCTACCAAATTCCAAAATGTTTTTACCCCTAACCTAGAAATTTCACTTCTACTCGTTTAAAACTTAAAGAAACAACAGAGTAAGTATCCAAAAATATGTACTAAAAAATTCCTTGGAACAGTCTAGTGAGTGAACTGGAGACCAGAAGCCCATCAACCCAGCCACAAGGTAGAGCCCTGAGTGATGGTAAAACCAGGTAGCTGTGAGCAGCGTGCCCCCCCAGGAGCATCGCCTGGAGGAGTGCAGGTCCATCTGAAGTGGACTCGGGACGGTTTAGCATGTACATGTGAAGAAGGTGCAGACACACCACCACCTGCCACCAACCAACCGTGGTTGTTTCTGTAAATTATTTTAAAGTGAAGGAGTCATGGTTAAGTGCTTGACTACTAGCCGAAAGGTTGGTGGTTCAGACCTACCCAGCAGCATCTCAGAAGACAGGTCTGGTGACCTGCTTCTGAAAGGTCACAGTCTTGAAAACCCTATGGAGCAGTTCTACTTTGCATACTGAGGTCTCCATGATTCGGAATCAACTAACATTTTAAAGTGAATTAGACACCACGACAGCCCATTAACACATTAGTCACTATAACATTTCCAGATTTCCCTGACACGCCTCCAGCGTGGCCCACTTGCCAACAGCACACACATCTCCCAGGCTCCCACCCATTTTTTACAGTGGACTCACATCTGCTTATGTCCCGAAAGCAGGCAGGGCTCAGCAAACCTTTCTGAAAAGGGCCAGAGAACAAATAATTTTTTGCGGGCCACATGGTCTTTGTTACGACTGTCAACCTTGCTATTGTAGCATACAAGCCACCACAGCCAGCACAGCAGTGGGCATGGTGTGTGTCCACAGAACTTTCTTTATGGACACAGATTTGAATCTCATGTAATGTTTATATGTCATGAAACATCATTCTTATTTTTTTTTCAACCGTTTAAAAACATGAAGTCATTTGTCCTTGGCTGAAGAAGAGCCAGCAGCAGTGGGCCACTGCCAACCAGCCCCAATGTAATGCAGCTGTGACCGTGGTTGGCAGAAGAGTGGTAGCTTCTATGTGCTTGGTCTGTCGTCTGTGTTCTCAGGCTTGATTTGGTTCAAATCCAAATGTTGGGTCAGACAACCTTACAGGTGACAAGTGTGCCATGGAGACAGACACGCCTGCCTCCCCATAGGGCTGCTGCATCTTCTCTTGGGAACAGGAAGGGGCCAGTTCTTGCTGCTTTGGCAGCACCCAGATGTGCTGAGTGGTTCTGGCCCGCGGGCCTCCCTCCTGACTCCGAGTCGCTGGGGGAGCATCAGTGCCTGACTGCAGTGAGGAAGGCTCCCATCAGCAGGGACCATCATTCTCTGAAAGTCAGTTCCACCATGCCTTTAATGCTTTCCCTTTAGTCCCTGTTCTCCAGCGAAGGAGTAGGTGGAATGGCGGCCTTGAGGAGTAACCAAAGTGTGTTCTTGCTGTCTGTATTGAGGCTCCTGATGGGCTCATAAGTGGTCCCGGTTTTGTGGGGGTTTTTTATTGGCCCAAACTGTCCCAGGTTTGGCCAGGGAGGTCCTTTCAATCTAGTTCCTGGTCCTTCTTATCTCAGGGTCCCGAGAGCTGCCCCAGGCTCCCTCACAACCTCCTGCCTGGGAGCGCAGCTGGTGTGGGCGGGGGGAGGTCGTCTTAGCCGTCTTGGTGGACAGAGCCAGAGCACCTTGTCTTCAGTCACGTGTCCTTCCTGACCTTTCCATTCAAGTTTTACTGCTGGTGTTTCGATTTAACTTTGACATTAAAGTGAAGACTGTGGTATTTGCCCTCATGCCACATCCCACAGAGATGTACAAAGGTGAGTCCTAGAGCCACGTGGGACACCTAGGCACACTGCCGCCAATGACAGCCATTCCTTTCAGTTCCCAGTGTCAGGGAACTCACTTCTACCCATTTCATATTAAATATTTAAGTATCATATTTTAGCTACATACCCTTGTAAAAATTAGATGTGTTTTTAAAAGACATAGCTCCAACTATAAATGCAAATAAAACCAGTATCACTGCCATAAATAAAATAATTATAAAATGAAAACAGAGCTGTTGCTAAGTTCTAATAAGGCACTGTGGGCGGCCAGCGGCGGGCGGGAGGCTCAACAGGGACTCACTGGGTATCCCCCCATCCAAGTACCGTCTCTCACTGGGGCAGAAGAAAAGACCTGGCATATAGAGGGGTCGAGTAGAAGCCACCAGATCATCTGCCTGAGCGAGAAGGCGGCCCTGGTCAGAGCCCCTCCCTCTGCCCCGCCACAGCCCTTTTTGGGGGGTGGGTCCGCTGGGTCATGGCTCCACTCCCCTCACCTGCCTGTCTGTCTGCAGACATGCCTCCTGATGCGGCAGCAGCACGAAGCAGCGGCACTAAACGCTGTGCAGAGGATGGAGTGGCAGCTGAAGGTGCAGGAGCTGGACCCTGCAGGGCACAAGTCCCTGTGCGTGAATGAGGTGCCCTCCTTCTATGTGCCCATGGTCGATGTCAACGACGACTTTGTGCTGCTGCCGGCGTGATGCGGCGACGGGACGGTGAGGGCACGGGCCTCCAGGGCGCCCACGGTGCTGTCGGCCGCGCAGCAAGGAGGCGCATCATGTCAGGCGGAGGAGCCAAGGGGAAGACTGCACTTTGTTCATGCCACCCGGCCGACTGACGCGGACGCCAGGGGCAGGCCCAGGGACAGGCGGGACGTGGACACAGTGTCACCCCTGTGGGGGCCACGCTTGGATCCTTGTTTCCAGCTAACTGCAGTCGTGGTCGCAGTTGCAGGAAGGAATGCGTTTTTAGATTCTTGTTCCATTCTGATCAATTGCAGGAAAAAAAGGTGTCGCCTCTCATGGACAAAAGACCTCAAGGTTGGGGAAGGCAGACGACACCCAAGGCTGCTTCCCTGTGGTCACAGAGCCACTGCGGGTAGGCGGGCGTGGACAGGGCAAGGACGCTGGGCTGAGCAAGGGCCCGACCACCTGCCCGCCAGGCACTAGGGGGGACACAGAGCTGGGACTCTGCTGATTGTGTTTTTAATGGAGTCAAATCCACGTGGTTTGTATATTTTTTCCTTTAATCTTGGGCATTTTGTTTCTCTTTCTGAGAACATAACTTGAAACACTACAGAGCCAATAATCATATAAAAAGTGTATCCCGTAAACGCTGTACAGTTTTATACACATTCACAATGTACTTTTGCTGCCTTCTAGATAATTTATTTTGCAACACATTACTGCACAGTTGTAAATAACTTATGTACTGTAACATCACTTTCAGTTATGTGTAAAGAAATAAATTAATTAAAACGCTCTTGGTACACGTGTAGTCCCCACAGCAGAACCCCCCCACCCTCCCAAGAATGGTGGGGCCATAGGTGCACGGTCCCGTCTTGAAGGACAAGCCATGTCACCTACTCCTGAACACTTCAGACCATCTTTCCAGACTGCTGCCTCTAATCTGAAACCCTGCCTTTCTCTTCTCATCCTCCAGGCCTTAAATTAAGGTGGGACTGGGACACTGTTTGGGAGTAGGGTGGACAGGAGCTGTCCACTTTTTCCAGAGGAGCTGAAGCGGGCCAGTACCCCGACCCTGGTGATGGCAGTATAGCCACAGGAGCACCAGGCATAGGCCCGTGTCTTCAGGCCACCCTGCAACGTGCTATCCTGGGGCAACCCATCAGATCTGGGGGAACCAAAGGGGACCCACCAAGGGAGGGGACTTGTCCAGCACCATGCAGCTCACCTCAGCTCTGTGCCCTCTTCCTTGACACTAGCTCACACAAGCCATCTGTTCCTTGGCACCAGGACAGTGGGGACTGGTCTGTCCCTCAGAGTGTACTGGGAAGGTCTTCCTTCCTGCCTCCAACAGCAGTCTTAAACCCAGCCCAGCTTGGGGCTCAGCAGGCCTGGGTGAGCAAGAATCTGCATCTGACAGCTTCCACCAGCCAGAACCTGATGTGACACCCTGCCAGAAGGAGCAGGAAGGTTGGCTTCCCCCACCCGCTCAACCCTTGTGTAGTGATGGCTGCCTGGTCTCTTTTCTGAGGAGGTGAACTGCATAACAGGCCAGGCCTGGGCTCGAGGCCTCATGCTGCAGAGTGCCGTCTCAGGTGAGGGGGCACCTGGGCCATCCTTGAGAGGCTTCCAGGGGCTCCCCCAATGAGATGCCTGCACTGTCACATCCCTGCTCCAGTGCAGCCTCTGGCCTCCACAGCCCCTATAAGGGCACTGGACAAGGAGAGGAGAACCTGCCTGCAACCCTGTCCTGACCCTGTGTCCTCACTGAAGCCTGGGTCCCTCTCCCCGACTCCCTGCACCTGGGGCAGCCATGAGCCGAGAGGTCTGGGGTGAGGGCAGCAGTCTACACAGACAAGGCCTAAGAGGTAGCCAGTCACAGGACGGGTGTCCCACAGGTCTTGGTTAGGATGCAGATCACCACCTGGGGGCCACAGTACAGGAAGAGGGTCCCTGCTGCCAAGAGCCAAGACTTTATGAGCCCTCTGAGGGGGGTGTCCATGTGGTGGGTGCTGTGGGCCCCTGACTCCTCACCATCTTCTCTGTATGTGAAGCCTCTGTGCGCTCGCTCTCTCCTGTTCCCTCAAGGGCTAACCTTGACCCAGGCAGGCTGGTTCCCCACCTTGATTTATATACTTGGGACCAGAAGGCTCAATATGTTTTTCTGGGCATGTGTTGGTTTGAGCTGGTTGTATTTTTTTTCCCCCTAAATCACAGAAATTTGATTACAGTAACACCTTTTAAGCCCTACTTCTTCTTTTTTAAATAACTGAATCAACCTGTATAAGCCCCTGACCTATGGTGGGGTGGGAGCAAAGATCTCTCCAGGTGAGCGGCTTCCCTCTGCATTGGGGGTGGAGTGGGGCAACAATTGGCACCCAGGCACAGCTGCATGCCACCAGCTCACCCAAATCTGGAGGGAGTCTAAGAAGGCCATGTGCTGGACTGATAACCCCACTGCTGGGCACAGAACTGGCAGAAACACATGTTCACGGTTCAGAAAGTCACTCAGACACGTGCACAGCTGCGTGTGTGCAGCGGTCAAAAACTGGAAACAAATGTCCATCAAAAGAATGGAAAGTAAATTGTGGTACCCCTATAGTTCAATACCACCCAGCAGGATGCCTCTGCCTTGCACCTCTGACATCCTGGCTGGATCATTGTGCTGGGGGGGGTTGGCGTCCTGTGCACTGTAGGATTTCGAGCAGCATCCCCGGCCTCCATCCACTCGATGCCCAGTAGCACACCCCAAGTTGTGACAACAAAACATGTCTCCAGACATTAACAAATCTCCCCTGGAGGACAAAACCACCCCCAATTGAGAACTACATATAACATGAAGATTAACAAAGCCCAGCTACACACAAGATAATTTGTATTGTATGATTCCACTTATGTAGAGTTCAAAAATAGGGAAAATGAAATTACAATGTTAGATGTCAATGATTCAATAGAGCAGGAGGAATAATGACTGGAAAGAAGGAACAGGAGGGGCAAAATGGTCTATTTCTTGACCTGGGTGTTGACTACATGGGTATTTGCTTTGTAATTATTCAATGGACACTTTTATTGTATTTCACAATTTTAAAAAGTGTTAGTTTTTTTTTTAAAGGAATGGGAGAGATTTCTCCATTTTCCCAGGACAACAGAATATTAATAGATACATTCTGAAAGATATGACAGGATGTCACATCAAAATGGCAGCACCTTCCAGTCAAAATCCCAATAAAGTGACAAAAGGAGGAGAGGATAAATTCAAGATAACCCCGAAAAAGAAGGAATGATTATACCACAGACCAGAAGCTGTGAGGAAGGGGATGTGAGGCCGGGGGAATTAATTTGATAGAAAAGGAGGCAGGACTCCCAAAATGGCAGAGCAAGAACCTGCAAAAATCCCCTCCTCCATAAGAACAAGGAGAACACTGGAAAATATTCTCCAACTTTCCATTACTCTGGAAATTAAGCAAAGACTTGTAACAATCCAAGGAGTTTTATTCAAGACAAGTGGCTGAATCTCAGAACAGCTGGCTTTGAGGCATATTGACTAGCCCTATTCCCATGCTCCTATCCTAGCTCCTTGGTAGTCTTGAAGCAAGCAGCCAGCACCCACCACAGCAAGCAGACCAGGTGTGGAGCTCCTTAAAAGCCCCATTCCCGGAGCACTGTCACCATTTTCCTATGTGGCAGATCCCTGGAAAAGCCCCATTTGACTTGATTCAGAGTTCACTCAATGGGAAATGCCCTTTCTCCAGGGCATTTGTCAAAATAATCAAGGAAGACATAAAACTATAAGTTTTAGAAGAATACATAGGATTAAAATTTCAGGACCTTGTTTTTGATGAGGGATTTCTAGATATGACATCAGAAGCATGAGCAAAAAAAAAAAAAAAAAAGAAGAGTCAATTGGATTTAATCAAATTAAAACCTTTTGGGCACCAAAGGACATTGTTAAGATAACCCATATAATGGGAAAAAAAAATATGTGGGAACCACAAATCTGATAAGGGTTTATTCATCTTGAATATAAACAGAACAACTGGTTAGCATGAAGTGTGCTCAAAGGGAAATTTCTAGCTGTAAATGCCTACATTAAAAAATAAAGATCTCAATAACCTAACTTTACAACTTGAGATAAAGAGCAAACAGCCCAAAGCTACAGAAGGAAGGAAACAACTAAGATCAGAGCAGATAAAAATAGAGAACAGAATACTTCCAACTCGTTCTGTGAGGCCAGCATTACTCTGATACCAAAGCCAGACAAACACCACAAGAAAACTACAGACCAATACTCCTTATGAACACAGATGTAGAAATCCTCAACAAAATACTAGCTAAATAAATCCAACAGTATATTAAAAGGCTTATACACCATGATCAAGTGGGAATGCAAGGGTAGTTCAACATTAGAAAATCAGTGTAATGCACCACGTTAATATAGAGCAAAGGACCACATGATATTATCAACTGATGCAGAAAGGGCATTTGACAAAATCCAACACTCTTTCATGAAAAAAACACTCAACAAGATAGGAACAGAAAGGAAATTCCTCAGTATAATAAAGGGCATTTATGAAAAACACACAGCTAACATCATACTCAAGGGAGAAAAACCGGGAGCTTTCATATTAAGATTAGGAACTAGACAGAGATGCCCACTCTCACCAC